GCCACCAAATATGAAACGCATGCCCTTTAAAAAGTCCACGCCATCGCTGGCCTCTCTTCTCTGTCTCTTGTCCGGGATCGGAGGTGGCCTTTCGCTCCCCGACCCCACCACCACCACCACCACCACTAAATCTCTTGCGTGATCTGTTGCGTGGTGTGATTTCTGCGGCATTCCTTGGCCCCGATATGCCCAGGTAACCTTCTGCCGCTAAACCCTAACACAGGGAAAGGGTTTATTTGACTCACAGTTTATGGTTCACCATGACGGGAAGCCAGGGCAGGAACCCAGAAGCGGAAACTGAAGCAGAGGCCATGGAGGAACACTGCTTGCTTCTCCCCATGACCTCCTGCCTAGGGGTGGCACCACCCACACTGGGCTAGGCCCTCCCACATACATCTTCAACAAGAAAATGCTCCCACGAGCTTACCCATAGCCTGATCTCATGGAGGCATTGTCTCAATTGAGATTCCCTTCTCTCGGGTGACTCTAGCTTGGGACAAGCTGACAAGACGCTAGCCGGCATGGGCATGGGCATGGGCAGTTAGTGGTTGCTGGTGTGGAGGGCACCCACTTACCTGAGGGCGTATGATCAGTTAATGACTGCCGAGACATTTTCTTCAGTGACGTCGTCCCCTGTAAGTTACCCAGACGCCTGTAAATAATCCCTCGCTCATGCTCCTGTAACTAACCCTAATTAAACACAGGTTCCAACCCTGGGACAAATGGCTGAGGTGCCTTTTTAACACAACAAAGCAGACACCGCCCACCAGATTCTCCAGGCATCCCTCGCCCCCACCTGTTACAGGGCCCTCCTGGCTTGCATGCCCCGACCCCACCCTAACTTTCCAGACCAGGGTCCTGGACTGCCTTTCCCTATATATTCCAGCCATCTTGGTTACCCACTCTTTATGAACCTTTGGGCCTCCTGGCTGCTGCACTGGGTTCCCCTGCTCTCCGCTCTCCCTTCCCCTCCCCCCTCCCCACACAGCCCAGCTCAGTCTGGTCATGTCACTCTGGACTCTCCCAGATGTCCCTGCCTCAGGCTATGTCTCCCTTTTATCTACAATAAACCTCCTCCAAAAGAGGCAGACATGTTTCCTTTCTTTTTGTTTTTTTTTTTTTTTAAATTTCTTTTTCTTTTTTTTTCCGATTAACAAACCAAGCTAGACGAGAGGAGTCATTTCTCTGGTCCGCCATTAGTGACTTCTCTGGGGTGAAAAGACATTTGCCTCCCACAAAAGTTCACAAAACAGTCAAGCACAACTGTTCTTGGAGTTTGGGATGGGGAATTATACTTTGTTCTGTAATGGAAGAATTCCTCGGAGGTCGATGCTGTATTCCCACAAGGAATCCAGCTCCCACAGCTGGACAAAGCAACCCCCAAAGCTCCCTAACCCTAACCCTGAGCCAGCCCTAACCCTAACCCTAACCCTGAGCCAGCCCTAACCCTAACCCTAACCCTGAGCCAGCCCTAACCCTGACCCTGAGCCAGCCCTGACCCTGACCCTGACCCTGACCCTAACCCTGACCCAGCCCTAACCCTAACCCTGACCCAGCCCTAACCCTGACCCTGACCCTGACCCTAACCCTAACCCTGACCCTGACCCTGACCCTAACCCTAACCCTAACCCTGACAAGACAGGCACAGGTCTCACAAGATCTGTTCAACCTCTCTCACCAGCTGCCCTAGTCATCTTTGGAGTATGAAGCTCAGTCAACTTCACCAGCTAGCGAATCACCTGGAAGGTGTAGACCAAAGTGTGTATTGTTTATTATCTGTGCTGTTAAGAGAAAGTCACCACACAGTCACAATGATACGTACGCACAAAGCTACAGGGAAGAAGGGATCTGGAATTTAGTAGAGGGATTAGGTCTCTCTAGACTTCACCCTCTTTATAACAGGAAGAGGAGGGGCTCAATCCTGCGCCCTTCTCCAAGTACAGTAAACAGGAATTTGAGAAGACGGATGTGGTAGGAAGATTTGGAGAATTTGAGGCCAGCCTGGGCTACGTAGTGGGGAAAGAAAGAGAGGGGAAGGGAGAGGGAGGGGGAGAGATTGGTTTTAGAGACTGATTTTCCCGAGATCACTGGCGCTGTAGTATTTGCCTGCTCCACCAGAGAGCAACCTCTCTACGTTTATGTTCTACCTATCAGACAGTGGTCGCCGCTCAGCACACATGGCAGACTCCAGGTTTGAGCAGAGCCAACTCACGGGGCTTTCACAGCCCCAAAACATTCCCCTAGACCCTGCAAAAGTGTTCAAATACCCTGTAGATGGCTCGTTTTGAGACGTCCAATAGATGACCTCTAGGGAATGGCTCTAGAATCTGGAGTACTGTCGCTTTTTTTTTGGGGGGGGGGGCAACATATCTTTATTGATTATTTGGGAATTTCATACAATTTACCTCAATCACACACTTTCCCTTCCTCCAGGTCCACCCTCCCATCCTGCCCCCCCCCCCAAATGGACCAAATGCAATCTGTGCTGCCCATGTACTCATGGAGCATGGCCAGCCCCTCAAAGACAACTGAGTCCTCACCCCTGCCCGCCCCCACACACACACCAGAAGCCAACAACTGTGAAGAGTACACTTCAGCATCTCCATCACATCCTTAAGGACCCGACCCTCCCCAACGGCCTCCCATCTAGACCACACACACACACACACACACACACACACACACACACACACACACACGCTTTCCTTGGGTGTGAGAGAGAGGTTGTCGCTGAAGCCCTCGATGTCTCACGATGTCTCAATGTCTCTCATTCTCGACACCCAGTGCGGTCACTTTTGACCTGGCTGTGGATGGGAGCTTTCTCTCCCTATGTAGCTGTCGGTCAAAAGGAAACCCAGTTGGGAAACTGGAACTTTCCCTGGGGTGAAAAGGACTACAGGAAGTGGCCCCTGGCTCCAAAATCTGGTCCTGACGGTGCCTTGGGGAGGCTAAGCATCATCTCCACATCTCTCCAGCTCAAGTGCACAACTACACGACACCTAGCTAAGACCGGGAGCTCAGGGATTTCCCATGATGCTCCACTGGGGTACAGCGCCACCCCTTGGGATCAGTGGGGCTGCGATCCTTAGCACACCAGATTGATAAAAGACACCCATGCCCATGACATGTAAGGCCCCGTTCTGGGGTCTACTATGCCAGTATTGAAAGGGCTGGTAATGGGCACACTGCGAAGGAAGAATCAGATCAGCCCTTTCTGTGACTACAGCCGCTAAGTCTGAGGACGTTGCCTCTCTTGGCCTCTGTAATAACCTCCCTGTCTAGCCTTCACCCCAACCAGATCAAGCTGTGTTTGCTTGTCCAGAACCCTGCCATACTACAAAATCCATGAATGAGGGTTGTGGGGGTTTTTTTTGGGGGGGGGGTCAATTTTTATTGGTCCCAGAGCAACAACATACCAGAGAGACAATTGTGTCTAAGGTCAGCTTGGTAAACCTATGAGTCTGGAGTTCGAGGTTACCTCCAGGAGCAGGTTACTTGGAGAGCTATGCTATGGGAAAGCTTCCCCCCACCACCCCACCCCAGTATGGGCAACATCCATGCAAGCTGCATCCCAGGGAGTTTCCAGGCAGCAGCAGCACTAGAAAGCTACTCAAGGTCCCCTGCCATAGATTACCACTTCACATCCTTGGGGAGGAACGGGCATTCCTTAGCCTTCCCCTCCCTTCACAGGGGAATGTTAATAAGCCAGCCTCAGGAGGGCCTCATGTGGAGGATCACAGCTGCACTTGACTGGAGACAGCAATAATCAGATGTAACCCGGAGGGAACAGCCAGCCGGCCATGGTTACCATCTCATCCCCAGGACCTGTTAGAACCCACGCTAACATTGGGGGGCGGGGGGGGGGAGTCTTTCCACAGTCCCCTAATTACTAAGTGCCGGAGTTGCTGACTGAATTTCCCCAGGTCTCGCCTAGACACATTTCAGAATGTCTGTTTTCCCCTTTTCTGAAACTCACCTTTGGCTTTGTTACAAACTATCCAAATGTGTTAGTTTTTCCCCTCGAAACAGAGTCTCCCTTTTGGGGCCCAGACTGAGTGCTGGGGTGTACCAGATTTTTTCTTTTGGGCTACCAATCAGCTCCCAAATCATAACCCAGACAATTATTAGTTTTGAATGCTTGACCTACCTTAGGCTCCTTTCTGGCTAGCTCTTTTAACGTAACCTGTTTCTGTTCATCTGTTTTGCCTCAGGGCATTTCATCTTCTCTCTTCCTGTATGGCTTACTTTCTACCCGGCTGGCCGACTGCTGCCGACTTACACCCCTGGTGTCCCTCTTTATCTCCTCTTTTTCTCCTTCTTCCTTCTATTTATTCCCTCTGCCACCCAGCCTTTCTCTTCCCAGCTACTGGCCATCCAGCTCTTTATTAGACCAATCGGGTGCCTTAGGCAGGCAAGGTGAAACAGCTTTTCATAATTAAACAAATGCAGCATAAACAAAAGTAACACACCTTTACACAGTTAAAGTAATAGTCTGCAGCATAAACAAATGTAACACATCTTTGCCCGGTTAAAATAACATTCTACAATACTGAGGTACAGGAATAACATTGCACAATACTGAGGTACAGGTGCGTGCCACCCCCCTGCTGTAGATTTGTCCTTTTAATCACCAGAACAATTAATATATATCCAAAATGAAGATATGTCTATTTAACTATCATGTGTAGTGTTTTTTAAGTGTGTGTGTGTGCACGTGCGTGTGTGTGTGCGTGCGTGCGTGCGTGCGTGCGTGCGTGCGTGCGTGTGTGTGTGTGTGTGTGTGTGTAAGAGGAAGGGTCCATGCCATGACACAATGTAGAGATCAAAAGACAATCTTTGGGACTCCATTCTCTTCCTTCCCTGGTGGATTCTGGGTATTGAACTCAGGTCATCAGGCCTGTGTGGCAAGCCCCTCTACCTGCTGAACCACATTGCAAGCACTGTATCATCTTTTTGTATATATGTGTTTCTGGGGAAAAAAAATCTTTCATCAACCAATCTCTCACTTCGCTCCTTTGTAAAAATCCTTTATTGTTGAAGAGGAAACACTGTATTTTTAATGCAGGACACTACAGAAACCATACTGGATACTTAGTGCCAGGGGATTGAGGCTATTCACATGCAGCTTCTATGCTGAAGAGGAGAGGGAATCAAAAGGAGGAAGGTACAAGTTTGGGAAAGAGAAAGGGAATCAGGAGAGCATGCGCTGGGATTGGTACAGGGACTATGTCTTTATGATGCAGCCCGGGGTCCAGAAGTAGAGTGCTAAAGACAAAAATAAACAAATAAAACGTTAAAATCACATCTTTGTCCCACAAAACGCCCACTGTCCCACCCACTGAGGGGAACAAGGGACGGCCATCTCTGCGGAAGGGAAAGCTGAACTCTCAGCAATCCCAGCAGCCTTTGGGCTAGGGCACTGTTGGCAGCAGGTGCCCGCCCCTTCCCCGATGTGCTGAACACGGTGTCCTGGTCTGTGGAGTGCATGCAGAAAAGTGACCAGTTCCTATCACCCAGCACTCCCTGGAGGCTGGCGCAGACACAGCCCGTCCACAGTGACCGGTCCCCCCCTGCTTAACCCAGTCCTTCTTCCCAGACAGGCTCTGAATGACTTCCGTTTTCAGTAGCTTCATGTGAATGAAATAAAATGACGCAGTGTTGATCCGCCTCCTCTAATCGCCTTTAAATGCTAGGCCCTGGGGACTGCATGTCCCATCTGTCTGCACCTAACAGGTTTAGAATACCGTCAGTGGTGAAATTAGGAAGGCAGCAATTACTGGCTCAGTCCCACTGAAAGAACTTGGATTCACCAGCAAATATTAAAAGTAGATTTCCACAATGCACTTGCATTTACCATTTGTATAAAATACGATGGCAAAATTGCACTGTAATTATCTTTATGGCCAGTGCATAACGTTGGAGGAGAGTATGTCACCCAGATATAGCTACCCGTATAATTATCTGGCCATCGGCAGGACTGAAATAACCATCTAATGAGAGCAAAATGATATGGTAAGCACCATGTAATCAGCAAGTTACAGTTATTACAGCCCTTTATGCCCTCTCACCCCACAGTAAATGGGGGGCCGGAACTGGTCCCGGGTCCGAGGGAGTCGTGAACAGGTGGTATCAAGGGTCAGCTTCTGGGGTCTCAGACTGGCCACCGTGAAACCAGTGACTGAATTCCCAGAGCAAGAGGAGAAAGGAAGGAGGCTGTGTGGACCGCAGAGGCTTCCCGGGGCCCCCACTCACTCTTGCCTTCCTTCTCTTTAGAAGCCAGAAAAAGAGGAAGGCATCAATTAAGCTGCTGTTGCCGTGTGTAGGTAGACTACATCAAGGCAGAAGTTTCTGTGTTTTGACTAGACTTCCCCGAGGGACTTTCACGCTAGTGGACAAGTGAGGAATCTCTCAGCCCACTCAGTCCTGAGGTCTGGCCTAGATGGCTTTCAGCAGTCAGACAAAAGCCAGCCAGGGGAACACATGAGGACATTTTCCACCCACTGTTCCCAACACTCAGCTTCTAGACCGGAAGAGCCATAATATAGATGACTCCCAGTGTGCCAGGAACATTATGAAGGCTTTGTCTGTAAAAGCGCAACCTTGGGAGATTTTATCACCGTCCTTATATTCCAGATGGGGAAACTGAGGCACGGTGGAGACACAGCTAGAGAAAGGCAGGTCCAGGATTGGATGTGAGTCGTGTTCTAATACATTCTGCTGCAGTGGTGGCTAAGATGTGGTTTCCAGCTATCTCCAGACTTTTAGCATCCCTGAATCTCTCCCTAAATCATAACTGTACTGACTGCATTCTGAGGCTGTAACCCAGCGCAGTTCAACCTCCTCGGGAGAGCAAACACTCCAGCTGTGAATCAGACTTCCAGTGACTGAAAGACGATTTCACCATCTTTTGTACAGATCACAAGAAGACGGTGCCTAAAAAAAAAACCCACCAGCTGACCATTGGAGAAGCCTCCACAGGATCCCTCTCCCTGTTTCCTACCACACTCACTCTGTCTGCTCAATAATCAACAGAGTCCATGACACAGGAGAAGGGGATGAAACAGAGCAGTGGGGACAAGTGTGTGCCCATCTCTCTCTGAGGTCATTGCAGCTGATGCTCGGTGTGCTGGACACCGGTAATGTGTCTGTGTCTTAGGGCAAAAGTGTGTGCACTGGGAGTGTCTGTGAGCACCACAGCTGACAGGCCCCGCCCCCTCACCCCCTCACCCCTCACCCCCTCGCCCCCTCACCCCCAACAGTGCTTACCTTATTCTCACGGGTGCCTATTTGAGGGTGCGGAAGCTGGGGGTATTCTCTTCAGTCACATCAGTGGGAGTGTCTGGGGTGGAGCAAGCAGGACAGTTAGGAAGAATTCTGAATCAGTGAAGGGCTGGCTGTACCAGACAGCACCGGAACCCGGGGCTGGGAGAATGGGGAGGAGGCAGGGCCTTCTGTTCCTCCGCCACAGCAGGGCTGTCCTACTGTGCTCAGGGAAATGGCCGAGAAAGGAAGAGACACACCCACTACAACCGAGAAAAGTCTCATCTTCCTCTCTGGTGACAAACTGGGAGGCACCTCTGACACATCCTTGGCAGTACCCAGACCTTCTTGCTGGATGTACCCTACCTGGCTGGCTGTTCCTCTTGCCCATGAGTCCCACAAAGAAATCATGCATGTCACCTGAAAGAAAAGGCCAGTGTTGTCCACACACATGTCAAGACTTCTGAGACTGGAACTCATCCTCTCTCTGTCCCTCTCCCTCTCTCTCTCCAAAGCCCTGGAGTTTCTGGTGTAGCCCAGGCTAGCCTGTACTTTCCACCTCTCCTTTCTTAACCTCTGAGCTCTGGAATTACAAATGTGTGTCACCACATCTGGCCCCTCTGTATCTCCTTGGAGCCTGAACTCCACGGCCAGCAGGTGTATTATCTGCCCCGCTTCTCTTCCCACCCCCTCCCCCCACACTCACACACCCACATTTCATCACTTGTCTACCACAGCAGGTGCCTGGCTTAGGATCGCCATCGCCATCGCCATCGGGAGAGCCCCTCAGTCCCCAGGGACCAGCCGGTGAGGGATGGGGCAGTCTCCCACGCCCCTCACACCTGCTCTCTCCTTGCTCCCTGGCACCATCTCCCCCTCAGAAAAGCTGGCTAAGCAATTGCAGCTGGTGTATTGTCCACACCGCCGCCGCCGAGATGCGGTCAGCCAAAATGGCTTACTGGCTGCATGCCCATGGAAATTTGGGCAAACGGTCAGCACAGATGATCGAGAAGCTACTCACGTTTCTGAGGAAGCGATGTCTCCTTAGGTCCTGTGAAGCCAAGCCCAAGAGCGTAGGAAGCAGCAATTAGAGAGAAATTCAAATCACAGCCCTCACCAGCTAACCCACTAGGACACCCCCCCATCTCCCGCCCCCCCAAGGGGTTCCCCAGTGTCCCTGTGCCCCTCCCCCTCCAGAGCCGCCTCCTACCCACGCTGGCCTTGCTCAGCACTTTCAGCAACCCTTCCAGAGAGACGGAGCGGCTGTCATAGAGTCTCCGGAGCAAAGACTGGGGCAGCTGGTAGTGGTCAGAGTCCTTGTAGGGGAGAGGAGCAGAGAGCTGAGGGACAAGGTCCACACCCCATCCACCTGCTCTCTTCTGGCACAAAACAGCCTTGCCCCAAACCCCACCACAGTTGAATCCAATACCCCATTTCCTTCAGGATTTCCTCCGGCTTGCCCCGGAAGAGAAATGGGTGTGTGAAGTGTGATGGGTGAGGAGGGGCAGCAGCCCTGGGATCATGTTAGAAATGCAGACTCCTACCTGGAACCTGGACAGGACCTGAATCTGAATGTGACCCCATGGTGCTCGTGTGCATGGCGGAGTTCGGAGCCATGTAGAGACTTCCGGACGGCTGGCCTGTTGGCCTGGCTGCCTTGGACTGACTTCCTGGGGTGCTGACCATGCTGTCCCCCAAGACCAAGGATGATTGTCTCCTGGAATCCCCCCATCCAGCTCCTGCCACCTCTCAGTGACAAAGTCACAGCTTCAGAAACCAGCTTGTTCAAAGATGTCGTTGGTCCATGCCATCTTGGGTGTGAACTTGTGAGCCATGAACTCCCCACACCCAAGAAAGGTCCATCACATTTAGCAGGTGTCCTCTAACCTGAATCTCGGTTATGCCCTTCTCTAGAGTCCTAGTGTCCTTGGGCTGCAGGGGACACCCAGGATATACCCTAAACACGTCACCCAGGCACCACCCCACACATGTATTCCACCCAGTGTCTCTGGTACCCACAGACCTCGGTCTCTTTTGTTGACCAAGAGAGGCAGGGGGGTTTTCTTGGTACTCTAGCACTGTAGCGGCTTGTCTCTGAAGAACCCAGATCATCTGACGACCCTGACGACACAGGGTCCAGCTGGACCTGACACTTTCGGGGCAGCGGGTTTTGTCTGGATCTGGTGCACAACTGCTGCTCCCTGCACATCTGCCCGGGAGAGCATGCATGTTCTCTGTGTGTATGTGCATGTGCGTGTGCGTGTGTGTGTGTGTGTGTGTGTGTGTGTGCGTGTGCGTGTGTGTGTGTGTGTGTGTGTGTGTGTGCTGACTCTCTCTCTCTCTCTCTCTCTCTCTCTCTCTCCTCCTCCTCCTCTCTCTCTCTCTTCCTCTCCCCCCTCCTCTCTCTGCCCAGCACGTAGCTTTCCAGAAGCCACTTTTTCCAAATTGTTCGAATACTCAGCCCACCTCCTGTAATGAGATGCTAAGCAGATTGGAGCTGGAGAGGCAGAAGGCTTCGCACGCTGAATTTGTAACAAGTCCCACCTGTAATCATCTTAAAAGCATTTGTACCAATGTAACTGCTGTCAGCTCAAACCCCTAAAAAGGCTTCCTCCCTGCCCTCCCCCTACACCGACCCTGACAAGTCCTCTTCTTTTTCTTAGAGGAACTTTGGAAATGCAGGCTCACCCTGGCTTGCTTTTTTGATTTCTGTTTTACCAGTCTAAGCAGAGGCTAGAAGTAGGCAGGGGAGAGGAGAGAAGAGAAAACCTGGGGACTTAGACACTCCTGAGACTGTGGGAGGTGGGCGTGCGGAGGATGGGGGCGGTATCCGCATCTTGAAAATAAAAGAACACGTGTCACCGATAGATGAAATAGTCTGCAGAGGGCCACTTGGGGAAGAAATTCTGCGTGCGTCTGGCTCCATCGAGGGAGGGAGATCTGTCCCTTGCCAAGAGACAGCGCTGAGCCAGACTACAGAGAACTTAAGCCGCTGACTTATGCACAGCACCACTCCATCACTGTCACCAGCAAAAACTGAACAACATATTTTTTAATTTTAAAAAATTAAATTAAAATATAATTACATTATTTTTCCCATTTCCTTTCTTTTCCCCAATCTCTCCCATGTGCTCCCCTCTTCTTGCTCTCTCAAATCCATGCCTCCTCTTTAATTGTTGTGATACATATGTGTACATATATATATATGCAATGTGTGTGTATATATATATATATGTATGTGTATATATATATATATATGTAAACTGCTTAGTCCATAGAATGCCGAGTAACATTTTTTAAGGTACACGTTATCTACCAGATATCCAAGACACGGAGAGATGCCCTGGATACAACAGAAACAGGAGAAGACCAGAGATATAGAGAAATTTAGAGACAAAATGCCCAACCCCGCCAGCCCACCTCCCTCCCTCCAGCTATCCAGACAGACAGAATCCCAAGTCTCTCTGAGGGACTGGACTCTGTCAGGGGACATCTTACCTTACTGTGCCTCCCACCAGGTGCCACCTGCTCCTGAGACTCCTCACAGACAGCCCCAAAGCTGCAAGCCACGCTGAGCGCCAGGATGGCAGCGAACAGCATGGCGCACCTCATGGTGTCTAAAGGACAAAGGTGAGAATCAGGGAAGACACAGCCTGGTGGGGACCCGGTGGGCCCTCCTGACCAGCGGCCCTCCTGACCAGCGCCTGGGCTCCCCCGTGTTTTTCCAGCTCTTCACCTCCCCTATCCAAGCCCTGATCTGAAGAGCGTGAGATGCACCTCTGAGAAGGGGGTCCCCCTATTAAACAGCTCCCCAGGATCTGCCTACCAATGAGCAATGATGTGGTGTTGGGAGTCTCTAGATGATAAGGACGATAGATTCACAGGACGTGATCTGGTCTGTTTCTTTAGCTTGAGAAGAGACCCCAGTTACTGTCTTACAGTACTAGATAACCCCGAGACTTAAAGAAAAACTTTCTAACCTGTAAGAATCCGTCTCAATTCTGGCCCCAGACACCTCTCCATCCTGGGGCCTTTTCTGATTGCCTTCCTGGTACCCTACCTGCCTACCAGAGGCTGCCCTCTCCTTTATCCCCTTCTGGTCCTCACCCATCATCCTCCGTGCCAGCTTCAGCCCCCCACACTATCCTCCCAGGACCTACCTGTGGAGCTGGCTGGACGGTAGGATCAGGGAGCTGGCTGGTACTGCTGGGGAGGCAGAAGAGAATGCAGGGGCTCTGGAAGGTGGCAGGAACCAGTCCCAGCTCCCTGATAAAGGTTCTGGGAGGGTTTGGGGGAGCCAAGGGGAGGGGCTGAGAGTCACCAATCCCAGGGTGGCTGGAGGGGAGGAGGAAAGCTGGTAGGGTAGAAGATGCAGGCTGTAGTCACACACTCAGACACGCAGGCGCGTACACACACACACACACACACACACACACACACACACACACTCACACACCAGAACCAGCAGCGAGCACAGTTGTCCAGCAGCCTGCTTCCCAAAGGCACCCAAGGCAGGCACTCTAAAGAATGCCGTTGTGTGTGATTTCTCACAAAACCGCCTGACAGGTCCAGCTCAGTAGGTGTGTCTCCTGGACCTTCTTCTCATACCTCACCAGCTCCTCTCCCTTCAAACCTCCGAGCTTGACCACCAGCCTGGAGCAGCTTAGACCGGTGTCTCTGTCCCTTCCACCATCAAGACAGCTGGGACTGAGGCCCCGCTTGAAGACTAGGGGCGACTCTGGCTCCTCCTGCCCTCCTCCCGGTGGAAGCCGTCCCATGTCCTGGTCCTTACCCCAAGGGAGAAGCAGGGCTGCTGGGGTGAGGACTGAGACCCCCCCCTCTGCCCGCCCCCCGTATCCCCACCCTTTTCAAGCTTCCTGACTGCCTCAGCTGCCTCAGCTGCCTCTTGCGGGAGCTCCACCTTCCGTCCGTCCGTCTGTCCGTCCTGCTCCCGTCCTGCTCGTGAGGACCACTCAGCTTGTCCTCACCTTGCTCTGCTTGGCAATGTCCATTTCTTAATTGCCTCCCTTTTTTTTCCCCTCAAAGCTCAGACATCCTCTTCTCTGACCCTTCTCGCTCCTGTCTACATACCACACAGATGAGGGGGCTTTTCTGTAGTTTCTTAGCCCAGGACAGAGAGCCAGAGGAGGAGAGCCAGGGTCAAAATCAGAACTCGGAAAGGGCCAGTAATGCACTCACTGGGAAAGCGGCAGCTGGAACCTGGCCAGAGTGTGGATACACATTTCAGGAGCTTAGATAGGCAGTGGGATTTGATTTTTCCTCACCTCCACAATAGAAGTAAGAAATATGCCCATTTTTCTGATTAGGAAACTGAGGCCAGGGAGGTTCAGTGATTTGCTCCAGTGTACACAGCAATCTGGCTCTTCTTACTCCAAATCTCTCAGGTTGTTTGTTTTATTGCTTGTTTGTTTGTTTGTTTGTTTGTTTGTTTCAAGACAGGGTTTCTCTGCGTTAACAGCCCTAGCTGTCCTGGAACTCATGCTGTAGACCAGGCTGGCCTCAAACTCACAGAGATCCTGCCTCTCCCTCAGGAGTGCTGGGATTAAAGGTGTACACCACCACCACGCAGCTAACTCTCTCGATCACTGCATGGGCGTGTTGACCTTTGAGGGAATGATTTGCTCTTCCAGGAGGACACGGAGGGACATCTTTCTGAGTCTCAGGGATTTGGAAACATTAACCCTTTGACATCTGGGAATGAGAAGGGAGTGGTATGTGCTCCCTGATCACCATAGACTCCTCCAATCACCCTATTTAGAACTGCTTCCACCATGAACCCCCCTACCCGCTTCTCCCAGGACTTATTATATCCAACATGCTGATAATTTGTTTCTTGTCTCTGTCAAATATACCAACCCCACCAAGCATCACATGGACAAGAGTTTTTTGTCTGTTATTGTAACCCCTCACTCTATAGTATTTGGCACATCATAGATGCTCAATAAAACTTTATGAAAAAGGAAGCCAGAGCCAGGTTGGTTGGTTGGTTGTTGTAAATTTCTGCCCCCAAACATGAACACCACTAGCACTGATGGAGTCCTGAATCCTTCCTCCCCACGCCACACACCCTGGGACTCGGGTCATAGTGATAGAATGTCACCCTGGCTGCACAGGGCCCCTTGTTCACCCCAGAATGTGGGTAGCAGCTGGGTATCAAGGTCTCTTTACGATATGAGAGGTTCATGGGGCCTCATTAAAAGCTTCTCATTACCCAGTTAATTGCAGGACTGTGTGTGTGCAGAACATGGGCCAGCACCCAGAGCTGCAAATATTTGGTGGGCTGAGAAACAGAAGTGGGAGGCTGTTTACATGCAAATGGTATAACATGTCCATTCCTTCGAGGAGCCCAGGTACTGTTTCTAATTGGACCTAGCCTAGATGGCTCCCTCTTCCTCCTCTCCGATCTGCAACAATCTAGAGACAGAAGACCAAGCTGGGCAGGCCAAGGGAGTTGGCTGTGCAGGAGCAAATGAGTTCAAAAGCTGAAGACCAACAGCCTGGTGGCCCAGCTCTGTCAGCCCCTCCCCCCAACACAGCCACCCCCATCCGTGAGCCCTGCCATCAGGGAAGCAAGGCTTCAGCAAAGGTCCCACCATGAATAATGTCCTTTGATGATGCTGTGTCTCACAGAGGATGGCAGGAGTCAGGGCTGGGAGGGGGCTGGTCACCCTTGATCTCTGGGATTAGCAAAGACTTGAAAGGGCTGATGCTGACCCAAGCTAGTGAGGTGATGAAGGAGGGAGGCATTAGAAGCCCGAGCAGGAAGCTTCATTTTGCCCACAGATCATATGCAAATGACACGTAAAGTGTCTGCTGCAGGGATGGGGCCACTATAGAGCTATTGAGTTTTGTTTTTTCTTTGCACATTTCTTTATTTGAGGCTCATCTCGGATGCTGTCTCCATAGAGGAGAAAATCCATAAAGTCCAGGTCTGAAGCAGCAGGTACCCGTCTACCCGCCCCTGACCCCACTGCATATATATGTATATATATATATACATGTATGTATGTTCAGTTGTACCGAGGTGAGACAAGTTAGATGACCAATCTCTAGGGGGACATGCTTGTGTGCACAAGACCACATGTGCTTGTCCGCCATGTACTCAGCTGTGGATTCCCTTGGTATCTTGGGGCTGGACCCTGTGTGACCTGGACAGAGAAGGAAGACAGTTCTCTATCAGCCAGTGCATGCATGAAGAACTAGGAAGAGGCCCTGAGGGCACGGAGGAGCCGCGACTGAGCCTGGACTGTGGCAGAGCCGGATTGAGCTGGGAGGCCCTTGGGTGGCTCCCCAGTGAGGGGGAAGTCCACCATGGCTAGTGCAGCCTATACTTTGAGAGCCCTGGATGTGCTGAGGCGGAAGGCTGGGCCAGGACCGACGGCAAAACCGATTCCCCCTGGTGAAAAAGTCAATTCTAGCTCTTTTCTATAGGTGGGAAATCCATAGGTAGGAAAATGGAACCCTATAGACCTTGGGATCCTGGGCTCCGGAAGAAAGGAAAGGTAAAGACAGCAGGGGGGAGGGCGGAGGGGGGGGTGAGCCCCACCCATCCTCAAGCTAGCACCCATCAACATGGTGGAAGAATGGAGGCCCAAGACCTATTTAGCCCTCCCCACCCCACCCCCACCCAGGGAGCTGGCAGCTCCCTCAGCCCTGGGAAAAGAAAAGCAGGATTGGAAGCAGCAGCTGCATTTTCTCCTGAAATTGCTTCTGAAAATGACCAGACACTTCACTGGGAAAGTGACGACAATTTGGGCCCTGGGAGCAGAAGATGAGGCGGAGAGCGGGGGCGATCAGGCTCAGGTCACTACCCGCTCCCAGCCAGACGGGAGCTTGTGATTCTCAGAAGTCAAGGCTGGAGTTGTCATCTGGGGAGTGGGAGGCTAGCCAGAGCCCGAGTTACCTGTCCTCCAGCCCCAGCCCTGACAGGGCAGGCTTTAGCTTCTGTCTGCCCAGGGCCCATTGTAGCCCAGAGCTGGGGGTCGGGCTGAGAGAGAGAGAGAGAGAGAGAGAGAGAGAGAGAGAGAGAGAGAGAAGGAGGGAGAGATTAATCTGTAGGCAGGAAGGATAGTTAATCAGGTCTCCCTGCCAGCATGATTACTTGGACCCGTGAGCTGCCTACCAATGGAGGCTGCGAGGGACCCAGCCTCAGAGCTTAGTGGAGGAGGCAGGGAGGGTGGAGATGGTGAGAGGAGGAGGAGGAGGAGGAGGAGGAGGAGGAAGAGACACCCAGAGACAGGAACAACGGCAGCCCTTCCTAATCTCTCCCTGGGTACGCATCTAAATTTCATGGCTATACGCAGCATGTTCCCCAAAGATAGAGCAGGGTAGTGAGACAAGACCGTCTCTGAGGACAGGAAGATGAAGGACAGCGGGGAAAGGTACAAGAGATACTGCAGATCAACGGGGACAAAGCCCACACAGGCTGAGACCGACACAGAAAATGAAGGAGGACAAGAGGAAAGGGGCAGTCCCAGAGACGAGCACGTCTGAGTCAGGGAGCCTGCCCCTGCCGGGGGCTGCCAGCAACGGGACAGTGACGGGCAGCAGCTCGACATCTCAGAGGCATGGAGAGGAAGAGGGTTCCTGGGAGGCGAGTGTGATACAGCCCATCTCCGGGGTGGAGGGAGACAGAGACCCCGGGGGCAGAGTCCCGGCATACCCCAGCTTGCCTCAGCTTGCATGAACCCTGCAGCCTTAGGCTTCCTTTTCAGGCTTTTTCAAGGAGCCTAGTCTCCAAGACAGGCATCCTCAAGTCTTCCCTCCAGGGACACACTTAATGAACCAGCTCGTTGGCCACCTGCGACCTGAGCCCTATCCCGGACTTCTACACCCCCCACCCCAGTCTCTCTAAACCCGGCCAGAGCTCAGCCGGTCAAGGAGGCCAGAGACAATTCCCCTTCTTTTCCTTATTGTCTGCACTATCTGGTTCCCAGGAGCCTAAGGGACACACGGCCTGGGGGAGTGGGGGTGGAGGGCCCAAGGACAGCTGGGTGAAAATCAGTCAAGTAAATAAGTAAGCATATGCAACCAGGCAAGGACGTAAGCAAACACGGACCGGCCAACGCTGCCCACACCTTTCTGAACCACATGATTTATTGGTGGGCAAATGGGCTGAAGCTGGGCGGATGCTACATTTGGAAAAGGATTCTAGGAAGGTCCAGGGAACGGAAAGGCCATCTTCAAAGATCCTTCAGCTCTAAGCGCCACTCCATGACCGGGAGAGCTAGACAAAAGTTCTGGTCCAGAGGAAGAAGCTGCGTCCGTCTCCAGGAGGCCCCAACCTCCTCA